GCTTAAAAGTGATGGAAGCCACAGCAAGGGGGACGGGATCCCTGATCGCTTCTCGGGCTCCAGCTCTGGGGCCGACCGCTACTTGACCAGCTCCACCCTCCAGCCTGAGGACGAGGCTGACTACATCTGTGGTGTATCTCATTCCGTCGGGGTGCCATTTGGGTAAAGCACAGCGTTCCACATGAAGGGGGAAGTGGGACAAAAACTGTTTGCTGTTCCGCTCTGGTGACTGACACAGGGCTCCCAAGGAGCGTCTGCTGCCCTGAGCGCCATTTCTGTTGTTATCACGTTACAGGCAGAGCACAAGCGTTCTGATCCCCGCCAAGAGCTCCCTGTGGACAGCCCTGGGCAGGCTCCTGCAGAGCGATGCAGAGAGCACCCAGCTCCTGCCGCCCAGGCTGCTCTGCTGCGTGCTCGCTGCATGGGGGATGCAGGACACTCCTTTCCAGATGCAGACACTGAGCACTTGGGTTACCTTGGAAGTTCTCATGTACACCATGTCCCTAAGGTCTCCACAGCTCTGCACCCTGCTCACCTGTCCCCATCTGTGACACTGCCCTGGAGTCAAGGTGCTCCAGGAAGCCTTTACTAGACTGGGCTGCCCCTGTGCACATGTTTACACGGCTGGGAGAGAGACCGTCAGGATCACAGTCACCCTGTAGGACTCAGAGCCTTTGTAATGAGCACAGACAGGGCCTGGGGAGCTGCAGGGACCCGCAGGGCTCCCAAGTCTCTGGGCCATGGGGCCCTGTGTGCTGTGACCAGTAGGGGGTGCTGGGGGACTGCCCCATGGTCTCTGCACAGCTGCTCAGTGAGGACCTTTCACTCCCATGAGCCTGGCAGTTGCAGGAAATGGATGAACCTGGAAGACATCGTGTTAAGTGAAAAAACCTGGGGCTGAAAGACAAATGACTTACGATCTCACACACGCATGGAACCTAGAAAGCTGATCACCTAAAGCTCAAGAGGAGAGAGTGGTTATTACATGTTCTACACATCTGTGGAGGGAGGGGAGAGCAAAGGGGTAGGGGAGAGTTCAGCCACTGGGTGTCGCAATAGAGTCAGAGAGGGGGGGACGAGTCTCAATGCTGAAGACCCAGGATATATTCTTTTTTTTTTTAAGAGGTTTTTGCTATAGGGCGTGTGCACTTGCCAGAGAGACAGAGAGAGACAGAAAGCGAGAAATCACCCCCCAGGGGGGATGGCCACACCGCAATCCCTTCTCCTCCATTCTCCTCTCGGGATCTTGGGCACACACGCACACGTGCCTGGTGTGAGTTTAAGCCACCAGGTCCAGGACTCGAACCGCGGTCGACTACATGGGAGTCCAGCGACATAGCCATTACGCTAACTGCTGGTCCCGTGCATGCCCAAATCCTGACAGAAGAGTGGAGAAGAAGGGAATGGGATGTGACCTTCTCCCTGGGGAGTGATTTTTCACTTTTTTCCCTCTTTCTCTGGTGAGCACATGTGACCTTTAGTAAAAACCTTTAAATAAATGAATAAGTAAAATACAATAAAATAAAATGCCGGTTTCTCCTTCCACAATTTGCTGACTGATTCTCTAGTATGGCTACAATCCGTCCACAGAGTAGAGGGTATTTCCATCCGGGCTTCTGGACTTGTGCACTATTGATGGTGTGTCAGGGGCTATTCCCGTGTGGACAAAGCTAGTGCCCTCCCTGACCTCGACCCCCTCCAACTCCACTCATACCCTCCACTCAGCTGTGACGATAAAATGAGCCCAAACACTGCCACCTGTCCCCTGCCCAGAGAACAAGGCAACCTGGTTGAGAGCACCCAGTGAGAGCACCCAGCTCCTGCCGCCCAGGCTGCTGCATGCTCGCTGCATGGGGGATGCAGGACACTCCTTTCCAGATGCAGACTCTGAGAATCTGTGTTACCTGAGAATTCCCCACGTACACATGTCCCTAAGGTCCTCACAGGCCCATCACTCTGTTGCCACCTCTGATAATACCCTGAAGGCACGTGTGCCCCAGGAAGCCTTTAGTAGGCTGTGCTGGGGGCTGAGGCCGTGTGGTGCCTGTGCACGTGTTTGCACCCGCGGGGAGGGAGGCCATCGGGATCACAGTCACCCTGTAGGAATCAGAGCCTTGGTAATGAGCACAGACAGGGCCTGGGGAGCCGCAGAGACCAGCTGGGCTCCTAGGTCTCTGGGCCATGGAGTCCTGTGCCTCTGAGACCAGCAAGGGGTCCTGGGGATTACCAGGTGGTCCCTGCACAGCTGCTCAGTGAGGGCCTCTCAGTCCAAGGAGCCGGGCATTGCAGGAAATGGATGAACCTGAGGAACATTCTGTGAAGTGAAGTAAACCTGGGACAGAAAGACAAATGTCCTATGCTCTCACACATACATGGAAACTAAGAAGTTGCTTACTTACAACTTGAAGGAGAACAATGGTTATTACATATTCTATATGTCAGTGCAGCGAGGGTAGAGAGAAGGGGGAGAGGAGAGGTTGGCCACTGGGTGTCACGATAGTCAGACAAGAAGGAACAGTCTCTATGTTGAAGGCCCAGGATGGTGAATATATTCTTTTTTTTTTTCTTTACCACTTGCCTTCTGTAAACTTTTTTTTTTTTTTATTGCAATGACACACAATGATTAAAAAAAAAAAAAAAAAGAGACCAGCGGTTGGCATAATGGCTATGTTGTTGGACTGCCATGTAGTCGACCACGGTTCAAGTCTCAGGCCCAGTGGCTTAAACTCACGGCAGGCGCAGGTATGTGCAGGCCCAAGATCCTGAGAGGAGAATGGAGAATGGAGAATGGATTACAGCATGGCCATCCCCCCTGGGGGGTGATTTCTCACTTTATATCTCTCTGTTTCTCTCTTGTCTCTGTCTTTCTGGCGAGTGCATGTGCCCTGTAGCCAAAATCTCTCAAAAAACAAACAAACAAAAAACAGAAAAAGAGAGAAAAAAAGAGACAAGAAAAAGAAAAAAAAGACTCCTCATAAGACAGACAGCACACCAACTCAAGGATAAAATAAAGAATCTAAGTGTGGTAAGACCGTCACGTGTTGCTAAAAGGTTCATTTTCCTCAGTGCACACGAAAGTTTTCCCTACCCTGTTTGACTTCATTATGGGACTTGCTTCTGTTCTTGGGTGCTATTTTTTTAAATATATTTTAAAATTTTTATTATTTATATACTTAATCGCTATACATCATTTAGATTGTAGAGAGACTTTACACAGGGGACCAGCAGTTAGTGTAATGGCTATGTCGCTGGACTCCCATGAAGTCGACCATGGTTAGAGTCCCGGACCCGGTGGCTTAAACTCATGCCAGGCGCGTGCACGTGTGTGCCCATGATCCTGAAAGGAGAATGGAGGAGAAGGGATTGTGGTGTGGCCATCCCCCCTGGGGGGTGATTTCTCGCTTTCTGTCTCTCTGTCTCTCTGGCGAGCACACATGCCCTGTAGCAAAAAACCTCTAAAAGAGAGAGAGAGAGAGAGAGAGAGAGGGAGAGAGAGAGAGAGAGGGAGAGAGAGAGAGAGACTTTACACAGCATGTAAACCTCAGTCCAGGCCAGGAGAGAATACTACACATGTCCTCATCAACAGATAATAACCCATGTCCGTGTCCCACAAATGTCCTACCTCTCCATTCTGCCCCTCCCGAATTGCCTTTCCTATGCTCTTCCCCTCTCACACACTCTCCGTTTCGTCTCTAGTGTCCATAACAATTTTCAATGCTTTTATGTCCTCCAGTCTTTCAGTCTCTCCTCTTCAGACTGGCTACAAGCAAACGACCTGGATGTTCTTCCTCCAAGGAGTAGCACATGGTCGCCCTCCCTGCAGGGCACACAGGCAGCCCCGCTGATGGGGACTGGAGCTGCATGGGATTCCGGGCTTAGTCCCTTCCAACCTGGAATCCTGCCCACACGGAGGCTGTGGAGAAGATCACCACAGCAAGACCTGCCAGAAATATCTCTGCCTCTCTTGCTTCCCATAATGTCACTGTCTGTCTCTTCCTCTTATAAATAAACAATTAAAACGAATAAGTACGTATTAAATATTTAAGGTGACAGTTATGCTAACCACCTTGACTTCAATATTCAATACACACAAGTGTTGAAGCATCACACGGTATCATACAAGTATGATTTAATCCATGAGAAAAAAAAGGAACTGTGTTTGGGGCTGGCCCTGAGCTCCCTGATGGGGGCCCAGGAGCTGTGTCCTCTCTGACTGGCACAGTCCCCTGAGCAAGGCCCTCTGTGCTGTCCCAGCAGGTGCTTCCCCCCTCCCCCGGACTCCTCAAGGGCTGGGGCCAACCTCCCTGCCCCTCAGTCTGCAGTGTGAGCTGGGCCCCAGCCCAGGGCTCAGGGAGGGGCAGTCACTGGATGGACACACATTTGCATGAAGAGCCCCTCCTGTGGCAGAGGGTGGGAAGAAAAGGAGGCCTGGGGCAGCCCAGCCATGTGGGGACCAGGGGCTGTGTCCACCATGGCCTGGACTCCTCTCCTCGTGCTCCTCTCTTACTGCACAGGTTGGGACAGGCCTTGGGGACCAGGGACATCCTGATTCTCCTCTCTGGAAAAGATTTCTAAGAAAAGTCATTCTGGCTCCTTTCCCATCATTCATGAGTGTCTGTGTCTGCAGGTTCCCTCTCCCAGCCTGTGCTGACCCAACCGCCCTCCCTCTCTGCCTCTCCTGGAGCATCTGCCAGCCTCCCTGCCACCCTGACCAGTGGCTTCAGTGTGGGTAGCTACTACATATACTGGTACCAGCAGAAGCCAGGGAGCCCACCCAGCTATCTGCTGAGGTACAAGTCAGACTCAGACAAACACCAGGGCTCCGGGGTCCCCAGTCGCTTCTCTGGATCCAAGGACACCTCGGCCAATGCAGGAGTTCTGCACATCTCCGGGCTGCAGCCTGAGGACGAGGCCGACTACCACTGTCAAATTTATGATGGCGGCAGTGATGCGCATACAGTGCCCCAGACACATGAGGAAGTGAGACTAAAACCGCCCTGCCTCCTCCCTGCCTGTGCCCTCCCTGTTGCACTGCCTGGGACTTTTTATGGGGTCAGAGGTGACGTCTGTTGTCCCATCCTCACCCGGTACCCCATTCCCTAGGACATCTACCTGTGAGAGTGCTTCTTCATTCTCCTGAGTTCTAATGGTCACTGGATCCTTTGTTCATAACTGCATACTCTGCTCATGACTACAGTGACAGTTGTCAGCCTCAGGGCTCAGTGTCCCTCTAGGGAGACAAGGGACCAAGAGGAAGTGAGTGACTCCATCTGTGTCTAGCCCAGGACCTTGGCCTTATGTATCTCCTGCCCCTTATTTAGAAAACGGATCACCAGTATTTAGATGGCCATGAGAACATGTGACAAATATTTTCAGAATATAAACAGAAGAATCTATAAAGTAAAACCAGTAATACCTCGGTGTAACATAAAAGGACATTTGATGAAACACACTCTAGTCATTTTGGTCTCCTTTCAAATGACTCAGCCGTACGAGATGAGAACAGAAGGTTACAGAGGTTCTATCTCTCTCTCTTTCTCTCTCTCTCCTATTCTGGGACATTAACAACACATACTGAATATTTTATCCACGCAGGTATCTTGGCCCTTGCAGTGCCCAGGCCAGGTCCCCAGACCCTGACCCACAGGAGGAACGACTGGCCCTCAGGACTCAGAGTGCTCTGGCTCCAGATGCAGTACCTGGGTCTCAGGATGCTCTCTGAGCTCCAGCCTGGGGACAATGGTGACCATTACAGGACAGCAGATGGGATGCCTGGGTCATGCTGAGGGCCTCAGTGAAATGCAACAAAACCCTGTGATCTTCCTCCTGGCTCTTCCCTACCCCGGCGACTCAGAAAAGCAGCTTTGTCCAGCAGAGCCAGGCCTTGATGGAGCCCATGACACCAGGACATTGTCAAACTGGCCCAAATGAGAAGGTCCTCAGTGACAGGGCAGGAGGCCCTGGGGACAGAGTCCATGAAGGGCCAGGGCAGGACAGGGACAGAAAACCAGCTGAGGTTGACTCAGGGATGCCCGTGGGGCCAGGTGTGTCCATCCCTAATGTTTTCTGAGCACCTGCTGTGGGTCAGGCTCGGTCCAGGCTCAGGATACAGAGTGGGCAGGTGGACAGGGGCCTCATCATCACAGGGTAAAGAAGGCAGCATGTCAACAAAAATAAGGCACAACGTAGTGCGTGACAAGAGGTGACATTGGCAAGAAAGGTATCAAATTTATCATGTCATGAGCTTCACACCTGTTCGGGTTAAAATTCCTCGAAAAATTTTCAATCGGTACATTTTAATTATGGTGCCACTGGGAAGATTAAAATGAAAATCCATTTAGGTTAGAGTGGTTGATATCTTTTGTTTAATGCAATGGAGTTTGATCATATTAAAATGTGTACACAAAACACAGCATAAATCAATAAAGTTAGATGATATTGGGAAATTTCTTGTTTGCATTTTAGTGTTTTTGCTATAGGGTGTGTACACTAGTCAGAGAGAGAGAAAGAGAGTGGGAAGGTGAGAAATCACACCCCAGGGGCATGGTTACGCTGTCATCCCTTGTCCTCCATTCTCTTCTTGGAATTTGGGGCATGCATAGATATGCACCCAGCATGTTTTCCAAGTCAGCATGTCCAGGATATGAACTGCAGAATCAGCCAGGTGGGACCCAGTACCCTAATTGTCACATGATCTTCTGGCCCTGGGAATTGTATTAACATCATTCTGCAAGGGATTAGGATGAGAGGAACCAAGGGAGGACGAGCTTGGATGAGTATACGGGGAGTGGTTGGGCTACTCTCCATCAAAATTGCCTCTAACATGTATACAAATTTATATGTTAGTATTATATGTTTATAGAATACAATAAATTATATTTATGTTATAGAATATAAAGATGTATTTCTCTAATGTTAATACATTAATTTATTCTCTATTCCTATCTGCAATGATCTATGTATATCTGACACTCAAAGTTGCCGAAAAGGAGGTTGCTCTGTGATCTCTGAGTGATGCTCATCTCTTCCCAAGAGACAGAGGAGGAGCTGGTGTGGGGACCATGGAAGGGACAGGACATTGGAGTTCCCAGGGGCATGCAGGAGTTGAGGGTGCAGACCCCCAGTACAGGTGAGACAGGGAATAGGGGCCAGATTTTGGGGGCACCTGAAGGGAGCTGAGGAGCTTGGGTTGTGTGCAAACAGCAGTGAGGAATTCACAGATGGATTTTAAATCAAGGGTGACGGGTCAGATCAGGTGAGGACTGTCTCTAAGGGCTTGGAAGACAGGGTGTTTGTGGGAAGCAGGGATCTCAGCCACAGGTCCTTAATTCTAGATCCTGTGGGTCTAGACCGGGAAGTCCCTCGCACACTCAGTATCCACACAAGACATGGGGAGAATGATGATTTCCACGTTTGCTGGCCCAGACGTCCAATCTGTCTGCAGAAGCAGAAACCGTCACTCGGTTCCTGCTAAGCTGAAATGATGAGTAAGAAAATATAGGGGAAAGAAACTGTTCCCAACACAGACAAACGTGTGCCATCTAAGACACAATGCTGACAAGGACGGTGCAACGCCCACTTGGAGAAAGTGACAAAGGTAAGAGAAACAGCGAAGTAAAGTAAATACGTACTAGGTCCTAATCACTGGCAAACGTTCAACCGAACCAAAATACTCATTTTCGCTAATTACTAAATCATAGCGGACCTTTGTCCAAAGTCTTTTTACGATTTTTATGAGGTTTTGGCCTTAGGGCAAGTACGCGCATGTGAGAGAGACACACACACACGGACAGTGAGAGGGAAAGTGAGAAATGACCTCCCTGGGGGGGCATGGCTATGCTGCAATCCCTTCTCCTCCATTCTCCTGGTATCTCGGGCACATACACACATGTGCCCAGCATGAGTTTCAAGCCACAGGGTTCAGAACTCAAACGGTGCTTGGCCATGTGGGAGTCCAGAGACATCACCACTACAGCAGCTGCTGCCTCTTGATCTAAATTCTAAACGTGTTCTGGAATGTGTTGTTTGCTAAGTGCCACAGTTTGAATAAGACGTCGAGCTCAGTCCCGGTAGATCCGTGCTCTGTACTTCTCCCTGAGCAGCCCCTGCACGTTCTTCAACCCAGCCCTCCTGTCCTCTCCTCTGTGATGTTTGTTCAGAAACAGAAACAGAGTGTCAGTTAGGTTTTCTAGCATCTTCTCTGCTGGGTGGCATCTGGAGTACCATTCAGGTACATGTTTGCACCTCCCGAAGACCTGGACTCCTCTAGAAGTGAGAGAGTGTAGGGAGCATGCCCAGTACACCGAATCCAGCTAACAGGGAGTCAGCCCTGGATGTGTGGACAGAGAGGGCATCTGGGGAGCTGCAGAGACCAAATGGGCTCTAAAGTCTCTGGGCCACAGAGACCTATCTGACTGCAACCAGCAGGGGGTGGTGTGGGGCTGCCCTGTGCTCCCCACACAGCTGTTCCTGAAGGACTTTTATCAAAAGCTGTGCCTGAGGTGTCCCTGTGCTCCCTGAAGGGGACCCAGCAGCTGTGTCCTCTCTGACTGGCAAAGTCCCCTGAGCAGGGCTCTCTGTGCTGTCCTAGCAGGTGCTTCCTCCCAGGGCTTCCCAAGGGGTGGAGCCAAGCTCCCTCCCCCTCAGTCTGCAGTGTGAGCTGAGCACCAGTCCAGGGCTCAGGGAGGGGCTGGGCAGTCACTGGATGGACACACATTTGCATGAAGAGCCCCTCCTGTGGCAGAGGGTGAAAAGAAGAGGCCTGGGGCAGCCCAGCCATGTGGAAAACAGGGACTATGCCCACCATGACCTGGACACCTTTCCTCCTCATGTTCTTCTCTCAGTGCACAGGTAGGGAGAGGCCTTGGGGACACAGGGTAACTCCCAGCCTGATTCACTGTCTTTTGGCTGAGACCATTGACAATCATCCTGCTGGTGCCTACCTCACCATTCATTAGTGTCTGTGTTTGCAGGTTCCCTGTCCCAGCCTGTGCTGACCCAGCCGCCCTCCCTCTCTGCCTCTCCCGGAGC